GTGAACATCGACCGACTCATATTAAACAAGAGACGCCTGCTACGTGGACAGCCCACATGCCAGTACTTGGTTGCAACAACGCAGTCCACCAGACTCAGAAAATTAGAAGCTGGATGGAAGTAGCCGCATAAGCTTTCGCATATTATAACACAGAATCAATTTTAAGTTTGCTGAACACAACGAGGGATATTTACCTTGGTAAACACACCAGCCTTCCTCCAATGAACCGCCAAGCGCAAGTGGATGTTAATTTTACCTTGTTACCTCTGTTTTTACCTTGTTACCTCTGATTTTACCTTGTTACCTCTGTTTGAACACGCAAATCCAAAATGATACGAATTGTATGCCTCTCTTAAAGAATTTGTTTTTTAACACACCAATGGCAAATTGTATGTTTGATTCCTCTCAACGATGGCGTCGCCAGGGTTAGTACCTCCAATTTTTTTCACCGCCCCCTTGCACGGAAATAGCTTTGCAGTTTGTGTGACGAGATTATGATTTCCTTTTAAGTTCATTGTGCTCAAAACACCTTCTAAGCACCAGAGGCGTAGGTAAGGGGGGACAGGGGGGGGCAGATGTCCCCGGGCGTTAGACTAGTTAGGGGTGCCAAAAAATGCTTTGATATTAGTTAATTGATGAAAAAAAAATTGGTTTGAGATTGAAAAAATAAATAGAGGCGTTTTAAAATGAATATTGTCCCCGGGCGCCAAACACTCTACCTACGCCTCTGCTTAGAACGCCTCACCCCCCCCCCTCACGCCTCCGTTTTTGAGTTCAGTACGAATTATTCTCCCGTTGATTGTTGTGGTTTCACGTGGATCACTCACTCAACGATATTTTGACCAGCGGATTGAACTACACCGTAGAATAAGTTCTATACAACAACATTGTCTTGAACTGTCCTCAAGTTCTATACAACAACATTGTCTTGAACTGTCCTCAAGTTCTATACAACAACATTGTCTTGAACTGTCCTCAAGTTCTATACAACAACATTGTCTTGAACTGTCCTCAAGTTCTATACAACAACATATGCAAACAACTTTAGTCAAAAGCTTTTTTAATATGAAAAAAATAATTTTTCGACAGGTGACTATTTTTATGTGGGTCATTAGTGGGTCAGTGAAAATGAAACCTAAGTTGTTAAGTGAGCGTGTGGTGGTGGTGGGGGTGGGGTAAGGCCAGGCGCTGTTTTTAGAAATATTTCAATATTTTGTTTTCGAAATAATGTACGGGTAAAGATGTTTTAAAGGGGCGCAGGTAAGATAATCAAAATGCTGGGTGTGTGTGTGTTTTGGATCTGACCTGGGGCAGGAACAAGACAGCCATGGGTAACATAGCAATTAGTGTCTTAGTTGTTCTTTATATGTGTATATTATAAGCAGTGATTATTTCAGAAATTTTCCCCCGGGGTTGGGGGGGGGGCACTTCAGAGTTTGGGGGGGGGGGCGGGGCCAGCAATGCCAGTTGTTTTTTGGTTGGGGCATATTTTTGCTCCGAGGGGGGGGGGCCTTGTCCTCCCCCCCCCCCCCC